AAAAATATATTTTGATTTCAATAACAAGGCACTACTGAGAAATAACACTAAGCTTACTTCATAAATATTAAATTATTAGTTTCTTAGATCACTTGCCAGATTCTAAATTTTAGATACCGTATTTATGCGAATCTAATGCACATCCCCATTTTAAAACTTTAAATAATAAAAAAATTGTTTGTCGGCGAATGTAATGCACATCAATGATATGAGGAATTTATTAAATCTTATTTTATACTACAATGGATTTGTATATAAACTATCAATTAATGGTATGATAATTTTATTTAAATTTAGATACCATATTTTATACAACAATGGATTTATACATAAAGTAGTAGAACATAGAATTAACCTATTAGTGGGCAATTGTTATGTGAAACAATCACTGTTAATTACCACTACCGTATATACAGTACCTATCGTAAAATATGAACATGAAATAAATCGTAACATTTCTATTTAGCTAACAGTTTCTACAATTAGTGATTAATAGTAAACGTCTTTATTCACTGTTTTCATCACTGGAATCCTTGCAGCTCTTTTCGTCAGACGCAGATTTATTTCTTCTTTCCTCATCATCATCATCGTCATCCTCGGCGTTCTAGAGCTTGTCATCTTCACTGCCATTCAATGAATTTGAAATGCAGCATTTCTTGAAAGATTTCACAATCTTTAGTGCTTCGATGCTTTTCCAGGCAGCAGAAACTCAGTGCAACAATGTGCGGTGCAGCACGCTTAATTTTTCCTGTCGGGGTCAATTCACGGTCATCGGCGAACTTTGCACTCGAATGTAATGCTCCATCGTATCTAATGCGCACCCCAATTTTGAATACTACATTTGGCCAAAAACGATGCGCATTAGATTCGCGTAAATACGGTAGTTTTAAAGGGAATTAGCAAATTTACAAATGCAAAAAGTTAAATTCATGAAATTCTTCTATATTGGCTTTTAAAAAATTAAGCCAGCAGCAATAAAATCAACAAAAATGGAAATGTGAATCTATGATTAATATCAAATTGCACATGAAGGTAGCAAATGTGAGTATGCGTGAAAGAAAACAAACATTATATACAAAGATGAAAGCACTATTTAATTTTTGTAAGTTATATGATGACATCATATTTGTGTCATTAACAAATTGATGTTTAGAGCTAAAAATAAACAAATCAAACTTAAATGAATAAGGTATATGACCACACTGGGACCTTTGGATAAATTTGTTAAGCTGGCCCATGCCTTCAGTGAGGTGATCAACCATCGCAGATGCTGTCAATGACCATTTCCAACACCTTCTTAAACAGAAGCCCAACTACGAGATCGTGACGTCACAAACTGGCGGCTGACTATCGCCATTGGTCACCTACTACCTGCCTTTAAACTATATATGTTTTTAAAGCTTTACTAATAGGAGGGTATTAATGATGTAGATTATTTTTTTTTTTTACTTTATATATATTGAAAATATATATTTTCAATTCATTCGCGGATATAATATTGGAAACATTTTCCTTTGCACAAAATATATATATATTAATTATTGTGATCTTATATTGTATGTTTACAGTTAAAATAATGCTTTAAAGTACTGGTTGACTTTTGATAAGGAACAGTGAGGTAATGTTGGAATCTCTCCTCCATACTAATAATATTCAAGTCACTTAACTGCATAAAAAATATATAAGAAGGATGTGTGGAAATATTTTTAAGGATATAATATTATATTTTATAATTATATTTTTAAGGATATTAGTAAGTTTTTAAATTTTAGCAGGGTAGATTTATAAGCACACATATTACACGAAAAACCTAAATTTTCTAAACCTTTTATTATTTTCACAATATATCCATGCAAAAATTGTGCTGATAATGATTTTACTGGGACAATACTTATAACATCCTTATATGAAGATCTAATACTCTGCAGCATAAAAACACAAGCAGAATTAGCAGCGTTTTCACAATTATATTTTGCTACATTCCTATTATATTTTCACCTTTGAAATCTAAGAATGGCTTAATGTGAATTTCGTCAACCATTAAAGTGACATATTATCGTTTTCGTCTAAAAAGCGGATTTTTTTCCTTAGCATAATTCAGGAAATTTTCAGGAGTTTGCTCCACTTTAGGATCAACATTATATTCAGAATACAATCTTTTCAATGTAGAAGGATGTGGCAAAGTAACATATGCACTATTTCTTAAAAATTTATAGCAATGTGGAGAAATTGAAAACATCAAACTTGATAATATTAACAGATCAGAACTATACCTATTATTATTTTTATGCAAAACGAGTAATGTCAGCTGCTCAAATATAAACTGAACTACTTTCTTTTTATGTTCAGGGACATTTTTTTCTAATTCCCGAAGGCCTTGAGTTACGAATAATAAATTTTTAAAGCTGTTTTCATTATTATCACCTTTAATTTTTGCAACTTCTTTAAGCAATGAACAGAGATTATGCACATCATTAATTTTTAAAGGGAATTCACGGTTACTAATTTTTGTTAATGGAATATCTCTAAAATATGCTTCCACTTGCAAATAATCATGGATAACGACTGATGCAGAAAATAGCAGATGATGCAGATAAAAGGAGCAAATTCTGTGCTTATCTGGAGAAAAAATATAATATTTTCTTTAATCACAACTGTTAAATCATCAGGTATCTTAACACTTTTTAGACATGATGAAAGCTCACTCAGATTACTATAATTACCTAATTACTAATTTTAAAGTAATAAAAGTAGGATTTCTAGTAATGCAATTTATATTTTAACAAAACAGGTAATAGCAAGCATATGTGTGTTTGTCTCCCACTCAGGAGGGGGGGGGAAGAAAAGGATTCTTAGTGACATAAGTTTTAATAATATTTGAATTTTCATGCATTAGGAATTTAAATTATTTCTTGTTTTACGCAAAACTGTGCACTTTATATTACAATTTAAAAAACCATAAGCATATTTATTGCCTTCACAGTTTCTTTAGAAAAACTTTTAATGCCAAAATATATTAAATATTAAGCTAAATAATTTCATTTGCTGCCATATACGTATGAAGTTAAAAGTTCCAAGTTATAAAATTAATCAAAAAGTAAAAAAATTGGACATTTAAAAAAGTAAGTAAATATTTAGCATACAATTCGATACATAATTATTAACCATACAATTTGATACATAATTATACTAATCGATACGTAATTACACAATATTATACACAATGTATTCTATAAAAATGAAATTCCTTAATATTAACGTATCCATTCTTTTAAATGTAGAAGCAAATACCTTAATAAATTTAAATTTCAAGTTAGGCTTAACTTACCCGAGAATACTTCGAAATGGTAAAATTTTCTCGCGGTATCGATTTTAACCATCTATGTAATACATCTTGTTGCTCAGGAAATCTATATACTGATACTTTAGAACCGTCACAATAATTTTCTCGGCATAACGGCACACAGCACTTTAAAGGCATGATTGAAATCGAAAAAAAAAATATCAATATCAAATTAAGGAGATTTGGTTCACGCGCCTTCTCACGACCAAGGACGAAATTCCCCTAACTTGCTAATGCCATCTAGATGGCCTTGGTTTAGGGGCGATTTTTCGCACCCCATCGAGAAGGCCAACAGTTTGTGACGTCACTAAACTACGAGCCTTCAGTAGGGAGGCTTGTGTTTAAGAAGGTGTTGCCATTTCTCCACTGGGGCAGTTTCCAGCTATCTTGGACTACTTGGAGGAGATATACATGCAAAGACAACTGGCAAAGGGAATAACAAAGATTGTCAATTGGATTAAAGTTGGAAGAAAATAGCAGCCACTTCATATGAGAAGTACCATCAAACACCAAGTTACTGATCATTACACATCACCACCATCATTAATTTTGGGGCTCGATAAGACAGAAATCGGGACCAACTGCTGTAGTGTAGAATTTTACAATGAACGGTACGACTTCACTCCAATACCACACAGTCTTCATAGAACGGTCTTTCAAGATGGGTGGCTGGGTACAATATCCCATTGAAATTTCAATCTACATCGTGATGCTGCCACAATGTTTTATGTCCAATTTCATCTGCATCATTTCTCTCCAGATCCTTAAATGCTTATTGTCTGGTTCCAGGGCAGATCTGGACTCTTCCATGAACAGAACATTTTGGTGAATATAAGACAGTCCAATTGAAATGTTGGCGATACCTCTTTAATTCTGTGGTTCTTCTGATGTTGTGGAATGGGCAGTTTGTGGAATACAAACACTTGATACTCAGGTGTAAAGCCTCTTTATATGAAGCATTTGGCCCTTAATACTACTGGGAGATATTATCTTTCCAAGTGATGCTGCAACTGCTGATGTAACAGTTGAATGTCATTCTTTGATTCCATTTGATTATTATGACAATATGCTGATCTTCAGAAGGGTTATGACTGGGCACAAGTCTCTGGAAAACAGTTTGAATTTTTTTTTTTTTTTTTTGAATAGTTTCTGCATTTAAAAAATTGCCAAATAATCATTGGCAAAGAAACGTACGAGATCTTTGATTGACTGTCCTGCTTCAATATGTCCAACAGCCTACTCAGTATCTGCTGTTTGTCTTCTTTTAGCCATAGAAACATGAATATCATCAGAAACTATCCAATGAAAGTTATAAAACACTTCATATCAACATTTAACTGAACATCTTCAAATCCTATTTAGTTAGCATATGTTCAAACAGTCAATCATAATTGCCATAACATGTGGTGTTTGCGTACTGCCGTCTGCATACGTAACAATTTTCAGCCTCATATTTAAGTGTGCTTCTGGAAATTGTTAATTCGCATTGCTTGCTCAACTTTTGGAAACCAATTTACATATTGATCTCAACCCTGAAATTGGTAAATATTCGCTGTTCATTGTGAATGAGGTACATGTTTCAGTGCAATGATTTATGTCAAATAAAATTCTGGGAAGTACTTAATTTCCATATTGAAAATTTATATTTTTCTTTCAGGTAGTCAAAATGATTGAAGACATAGCAGCAGGCATGCTCGACATACTTGTAACTAGTAGTATTAACTCTTTTGGTACACAGCGGCGATTCCCGGTGAACATCCAAATTGCAGAACTCAAACAGAAATTAGAGCTGTTAACTGGTGCTTCATCTACCTCTATGGAACTACAGTTATTAGATGATAAGAATGAATTGATTTGTAAGCTTATGGATGACAGTGCAACTTTAAATTCTTATGCCTTAGATAATGCTAAAGTTCTTCATGTTGTTGATTCATTTCATCAAGCTGGAGAATTTGAAGATCTGTCAAAGGTGAAAAAATTTGAATTATCTGAAGAAGAGTACAGTAAGCGAGGTGAAACATTTAGAGCTTTCAAAGAAAAGCTAAAGCTTCAAAGTGGTGATGAGAAAGAAAGTACAGAAAAGGAAAAGAAGCGTCAAGAAGAGGAAGAGTTAATAAAGAATATTAAAGTTGGCAGCCGTTGTGAAGTTCGTGTGTCTGGAAAGCCAAACAGAAGAGGAACTGTTATGTATGCTGGTACAACTGATTTTAAACCTGGATTTTGGGTTGGTGTAAAATATGATGAACCTCTTGGGAAAAATGATGGATCTGTTGGTGGGAAGAGGTATTTTGAATGTCAGCAAAATTATGGAAGTTTCGTTAAACCTTATGATGTCATACTTGGGGACTTCCCTGAAGAAAATTATGATTTAGATGAACTTTGATTTTTTATGAAACTTATTTTATAAATAATGCTACTGAGTCTGATGTCATTATTTCATCTTATTATATATTTTTATATTACATAAAGCAATGCTATGAAATAACTTCACAATGTGTATTTAAGCAGAGCTTAAAATTTACTTGCAGTTAATATGAGATCTGTGATATATAAAACTAAATAATTTAACAGAGATAAGATTGTTGAACAAATGCTCTCATCTTAATTTTCATTTTTTGCTTTCAGTGCATTGTATGTGTGTTCAATATAAAGTAAAAGCTATATGTTTTTATAGGCTATTTTTCATTGTTTTTATCTATTTTATCTTAATGGAAAGATGTATCCAAAATTGATTGCTTTTATCATAGGTGCTTTCTTTTAAATTCTGTTTTAAAGTATCATTACTTAGTCAATTATGATTATTACTTAATTTTTCAGATTAATCATCAAAACTGAATAAGAGTAAAATCTGTTTTATGAAGGTTGCTGAAAAATTAAAAAGAATGCTTCTCCCAGGATCAGAATCTATTTAAGCATTTATGTGAATATTAATTTTAATGCATATGTAGAATTAAATACAGTACAAAGTCCGAAATTCGGACTCGTCGGGACTTCGGCAATTCTGGATTTGGGATTTTTCTGGATATTAGATCATCAGTTTAAATCTAGTAAGACGGCATGTAGAAATTACAAAGTTAAAAATATGAAATCGGAATTTATGAAATAATGAAGTATTCATAATATAAAGGGTATCAAAATTTACAAAAAAAAAAAAAAAAGAAAAAGAAAAAGAAAAAAGCTTAATATTTATTTTTTTACCTTATTAAACATTTCTTTCATTGTAAGTTGTTTAAGTTGCTTTGTTTTTTGTGCTAATACTTTCTCTTTAATTATGTAGACAGACATAATTTCTTGTTCAGTTACATTTTAAAAGTCCTGTAACTGCTGTTTGAGAATTCCAACTAACTTGTCAATCGAAATGTTCTCATTTTCAGTAACTTCTCTGTCACTTTCTTCATTATCAGTAGCGGTATTTTTTGGATCTAGAATCATGCTACAGATATCACCATTCATTAATTGATTGATGATTGAGAAGCATTGTCATCACAATGAAAAACTTCTTTTATGTCATCTTCATTTATTACCGCTTGTCCGCACTTCTTTACAGATTCCGTTAATTGGAAAATTTAACCTTTGTTTTGCGATATCCGAAAACCTTTAAAATTAGTGGCGATCATCATCAAATTTAGATATCCTTCACTATACATATTTGGCTATGCATCATTAGCTTGGCGACTAACGACAAGTTGTTCCGTTAAATTTATTCTTCATCTATCGCACATTGAGACAATTAAGCCTGAATTGTATTAGTTATTTATTATACTTATGTCTATTTCTTGCACATGCTTAAGGCGTATCAGAGTTCTGAATAAATAAATTCCCACATATGCTTAAGCCTTATTGAGGGCCGGTGCTAGATATTTTACTGCCTGAGGCAGTCTCTGTGGGTCCTAAATTCTGTGACCCGGTTGCAGCCATATGAACCCTGGCATAGGTTCTGGGTTTCTGTGGAAAACTAATCAGTTATTCTTAATTCAAATAGCCCTAAAATTAATCTTTGGATCTATGAGTATCATCAACAAAATCAATTTTTAGCATATGGAAATAAATTTTTCCTCGTCAACATTTTTTAGCTCATTTAGCTTAAATTTGTAATCATCATAATGAAAAACTAATCAGTTATTCTTAATTCAAATAGCCCTAAAAGTAATCTTTGGATCTATGAGTATCATCAACAAAATCAATTTTTAGCATATGGAAATAAATTTTTCCTCGTCAACATTTTTTAGCTCATTTAGCTTAAATTTGTAATCATCGCCAAGCGTAATGTTGACATAAAAGGTTATCGTACTTCTTTATTATTCAATTACTAACTCAAAAAAGTTGTTTAGGCAACGCTACATGAGTCATTACTCAAATTGTCATGTTTTGATAAACATTGGCGAATCATTATTTATTATACTTTTCTTTATACATTCCGGCCCACCGGCGGCCGACCGGTAAAGTCGCTGAACACTGGTAGTTCAGTCCGAGGTTCGAATCCCGCGAACAGGCTGGCTGCATGGGTGTTTTCGTGGTTTTCCCCATGTGTAACGTGTTTACGAACCAGTTTCCCTTAGAAATTCCTCCACAAAGGTATTCCTCCCCTTAGGCAGATAGCCCTCGTGTGCTTTTCCGTAATAAAATACACCACCAATCTTTATACATTTCTAACAATGTATCTGTGTGGAATCTTTCGGTTTGAGATGTGTAAGCAGATATGTAGCAATGGAGCCAAATTACTGATCGTACAAATTTATGCTAAAATGATTGTTTCTTCAATAACAAGGTATTTTATTTAGTGTCGAAGTGAAATTAAGAATATGGGACTCTCCAGATGTTTTATTATGCATGGAGGCGGAAATCAAATGCACATGTGTAAAGTCTTGATGCATAAAGCCTACGAGAAAAATGTTGGTAGTGGTTTTGAGGTGCGGATTTTAGATCATTCCGGATAATGGACATCTGGATTTCGGACTTTGTACTCTATTTCTTATCTAGGTACAGTTACTGTTTCATTTTTTATTTTATGTCTAAAATCTTAGTGCTTTAAACCAAGAATAATTATAAAACTGCAGGGTAGGAAAATATATCTCTAAAATTGAATGTGAAAAACAAGTGATATCGGAATGTTGTATCTCATATGACATACTAGAGTAAAAAGTGATGATCTCAAAATACATTATTTTTTAATGATGCCAAAACCTGAAACATTAGTTAGAGAATAAATACACAGTAGAATTGTAATTTTCTGAAATAATTTAGATTGATACTATATTAAGTTGAAAGTTCAAGCTCTAGTTAAAAATATACAAAAATTCACCAATATTAAGGTACATTATCATATTTAGGTCTCATTATATATCTTAGTAAATTTAATGTTGCCTAAAAAAAAAGCAAACCACAGATACTTATTCACTTTTGTGATCCATTATGTAATAAATACATACTAGAATTTTAATAAAACTGTAAAAGTGATATTTAGAAAAAATAAAGACCATCTGTAACAACATTTTTTTTCCTTATTTGGTAATATTTGAAGTAAGTTTTTTATAAATTAAAAGAGAAATATCTTGTTTATGCTTCAGGTAATATGAACCGTCTATAAATCGAGGCTTAAGAGTGCTTAGAAAATATAGGTGATGAAAATCTATCTGGTTCGACACAGGTAACTCATTTGATAGTCTTCTCCTTCATTCTGAATTACAAAATGTCGTGAAATTAAGAGTTAAAATATTTTTATTGCTTAATGGGAAATTGCATAGAAGTTTCTGGGGGAAAAATTCTTGCTGAATATGTTTATGAAAGGCAACTAAGTTTTGAACTGGTAAATACAACTCTGTAAGAAACCCGTCAGGCTTAGCATGAGAGTTTCCTAGCCATCAGTTCATTTGATGTCTTAGATAAAAAATTCCATGGTTATCTATCTCCCTTCCTTAGTTCTGATTAGTGAATATGCATAATTTCTTCCTAATAATAATTTTTCCATGTCTGAAACTGAAGATATCCCCTCTCACATTGAATTAACTACTAATTTCTATAACCATGTAAATAAACCACATTCAGAAAACTGCTTACAGGACTATCGTCAAATCTTCGTCATATTTACAGTAGTAATTTTCTCTTTCTCTTAGACTTATTTCTATACTTTCTGATTATGCACACACCCATGAAAGATTTTGAGACTAGGCAAAATACATTTGGCAATCTTTATGGCTCAAAGCTACTGTTCTTTTTATAAATAATAATAAATCATTTTATGCAAAGTATGAAATTTTCTGAGACTAAACAAATATTTGTGTAACTGATATTTGAAGTTGTAAGCTGTTGGTTACTGATCATCAATATGGCATTTAAATATGAAGCATGTAATGCCACATCTATGCTACGTGCATGCATACTAAAAAATAGGCCAAAAAATAGCTGTTCTACTAAATATTGAAAACAAAAAGTGCAGGTAACCAGAAAATACCTCATTTGTAAGGATGCTACAATACAATGTTGCACATTTTATAAAAGTCCTTTTTCAAGCATTACATGATGCTAAGGAAAAACATCAGAAAATTACTTGCATGTAGGAATTTTAGTATAAGTTTATTTCCTCTTTCCTCTGAAAAAATCCCGTACTGTTCTGTTGTTAGGACCGGATTCAGAAATATGTGTATAAGTACGAATACTTGCTTGTTTCTCAAAAGACTTCATTAGTATTTTCCTTTTTGAACTTTAATTCTTAATTGCTAATTTCTAAGGGTACCACTTTATTGGTATTTCTTTTTACTTTTGGTTTTGACTTTTACCCTTGCCTGCATGAATGACGAAACACGAATTGAATGATTGGAGAGTTAGGTTTGGAGGTAACTTCCCCTTGATAAGTCTGTCTCCTGCATACTCAACAATCATTCACTTACGCATTTTTAAAAAAATTGTTTTAGGATTAAATAATTTTTGAAATTTGCTAAATTTTAGTGAATTTATTTTCATGGATTGGTTTTGCACTTGATTTGCTTATGCTTCTGAATTTAAATGATATTGTAGATTAGTTTGCAAGAATTAATTAATCTTTTATATGTTTGCACATTTTTTTTTTAAAAAATTATTTTGGCTTTAAAATTTGCTTTTTTACTTTTATACGTGTTTGTTAAAATTTAAATTTAAATTTTATTCTTTGCAGCAATGGCGCAAAGAATATTTAATTAAATTTGTATTTAAATTAAATTTATTTAATTAAATTCAATTTATTCTTATGAAACAATGTATATACATATATATGCACATACATTCGTACTTACATATATTACATGTATACATGAACACGTACATGCATGCATACCTACATTTCTCAAACCGGTCCTAATAGCAGAACAGTACCATTTATTCTTTTCATCAACATGTATCTAAAGTAATAACTTATTTGATCTGCCCTTTCCTTGGTTCTAATTATCCATTCTATGAATGAGATCATGAAAATTTTGCTAAGTTTCATTTGATTTCTCTGCGCACTTGTAGTCATTACTGATTAAGGCTTGAATTTAGTTGCTTTGCCACATTCATTTAATCATGAAGTCCGTCTCTGCTATAAACTTATATCACTTGTTCCATAAGATATATATTTTGCTCTTTCTTTTTCTGTAATCAAGGTAAATTATCTTCAAAGAATGTAAGTGTACTGTGTTATAAATTATCACATCAAACAACTT